TATAATAATAATAATATAATAATATATATATATATATATATATATATATATATATATATATATATATATATATTTTATATTATTTTACAATATTTTATGAATTTTTTTAAAAATTTAATTGTTTTAAAAAAATGTATAAATTTTTTTTTTTTCCTTATTTTTTTCCATATACATAAATTATAAAAGTCAACTTATTTTCTTATTTTTTTTTAAAAAAAATAAAATATAAATATTTTTAATATTCATTTTATTTAATAATAATTATAAATATGTATATTTTTTTATAATATTTATATATTTAATTCAATCTTAGAAATTCTCATGTTCCTATACATTCTATTTTGTTACTAACTTAAATAAATAAGTTAGAACATTAAGTACTAATATTACAAATATTACATAGGTAACAATAAGAAACATTTCAGTAAAAAAACATAAAATTGGTGCTGAATTAATGCAAGTTTTGAATTTTTCATTAAAATAAAGTATATTTGCATATATGAATAAAACAAATAAATAAATATAGAATACAATATCTAAGAAATCTAAAAATAAAACTATGTCACGATTCTTATATTTAGGAACTATTGTTATTAATAAATATGTTCCTCTTACTAATAAGCCATAAAATACAAAATCTACTAATAATTGAAGGTTCAAGGAACATTTTTCTTGCAAATTTTGCCTTTCTATTATTCCAGATGCTGATAAAAATATTAATGTGAAAAAAAAATGCGCGCCGTCAGCTGATCGTAGTGTTGATTTAGCTTCTATTTCAATCATTGTATTTTATTTTTTATTTTAAATACAGTTAAAAAGAAAATATTATTTATTTATGTTTTTAAAAAATAAATAAATCAAAAATTTTTGTAATAAATAAATATTAAAATAAAAAATAAAAAAAAATAATATATTTTTATGTTTAAAAAAAATAAAAAAAAATATTTATATATATATTTTATTATAAAAAGAAAAATAAAATAAAATCAAATCAAAATAAATTATTATATTGTAAAAAAAAAAAAAAAAATTTAAAAAATAATTATTATTATTATTATTATTATTATTATTTTTATTATTATTATTATTTAATTATTTTTATTATTTTTTTATTAATAAACTATTTATTTTTTTTATTTTTAATTAAAAAAAATATATTTTTTATATATTTATATCATTATTTAATAAATTATCAATTTAATTTTTTTTATAAAATAATAAATTTTTATAAATATTAATCTTAATATTTTTATAAATTAATAGTAATACTTAATAATAATATTAAAAAAACATATAAAATAATCACTTTAGATATTTATTAATTTATAACTTAGATACTATTATTATATTAGTTTAAAATTATTAACAAAAATGATAAAAAAAACTTATTTATTATTTATATTTCATATATATTTTATAAACTCAATTCTAAAAAATACTTAGAATTTCAAATTATTAAATAAATTTAATACAAAAATTTAATAAAATATTTATTATATATTAAAGATTATATTATAATTTATAAAATTTATTTAATATATTATAAATTCTATATTTATAAAATACTTTTAATAAATTAAAATAAAATATAATCATATTTATTATAATAAAATTTAATATAAAAAATAATAATTTTTACTATATAATAAATATATAGTATTTATATATAAATTTATATTTAAGTTTTATACATTTAATATACAATATATTATATAAACCTTAAACAATAAATTTTTAAATGCTATATAAATTAATGAATATTATTTTTACTTATATTAAAAAATTTAAAAATTAAATTTTTCTTTTTTTAAAAAAATAATTAATTATATTCATTTTAAAATATTTATTAAAAAAAAAATATTATCAAAAAATAAAATTATAATAAAAAATGTAAAAAAATATCCTTTTATTATTAATAATTTCATTATTTATATACATTTCAATTTAAGCAATTTGTCCTGAAAACACATCAACATTAATAGGAAATACAGATGATGGTGGGGATTAAAATAAATGCTTAAATTGTGCTCCCGGATTTTTTACATAAGCCTTAAATAAATGTAGTTCATGTTCAGGAAATAAATGGGCCGATTCAGCCTCTAAAACAAATATAATAGCAGAAGATAATGCTTGTTTAAAATGCGCTGATGGATATTACTCTTCTAATGGTACTACTTGTATAGTATGTGAAGCTTAATAAAAAGGAAGAGGAACTTTACCACTAATTAATAATGGTGCTAGTAAAGATAAAGCATGTTAACATTGTAAAGGAGCACCAGCTGGAAGTCCAAGTACATTTCCAAGTTGTTAGGGGGGTACAATTACTTTTTTTATGTATAATTAAATAGTTATTGTTACATTAATTTTAGTTATTTGAAATTATATTTAATTTTTTTATAAATTTAAACAAATATAAATATATATATATATATATATATATATATATATATATATAATTATATTAGAAATTTAATCAATTGCCTTTTATTTATTAATTTTTTTTTTATTTTTTTTTTTTTATATATTTTATATTAAATATAACATATTTAATATAAATAAAAATAAAATAATGTATTTTTAACAAAAAATATTAAATTTTCTAACATATAAAATCATATATGTTACAAAATAAAAACATTTAAATCTTTCAATAAGCGAAAGATAAAACAATCAGTAAAACTCCGAAAACTATTTTTGAAGCGAAACAAGTAGCTTTACTTGTACTTGCAACAGGTGCCTTTGCACAAACTTCACAAGCATTAGCTTAAGAATTAGCACCACCAGCAAATGCTAAAGGACCTTTTCCTTTATAGCCAGCAGGGCATCCGGTACATGTACTACTATCAGCAGAATAATAACCATCAGCACATAATATACATGATTAACCTTAATTTGATGCAGTAGCTTTAAGAGCTGCTACAGAAAATTTATTATCAGAACAGGCAGTACATTCCAATTGTGGACTAGAATAAAATCCAGGAGCGCAATTGACACAGCTATTTGGATCTCCACCATCATCAGAACTACCTGCGGCTGTTACTTAACCAGCAGGACAGTTAGCTTATATAGAATTTTTAACAATTATGGAAACTATTAAAAAAAGAGCTATATTTTTTTGCATTTAATTTTTGTTTTATATTTTTTTTTAAATATTATTTATTATATTTTTTAAAAAATTTTTGTTTATAAAGCGTTTTTATAATTTTTTTATTTTAAATATTTATATATAACTTTTTATTGAAATTATAAATTTAGATAAAAAAAAAGCCTGAAATTAAAATATTTTTAATATTATGTAATATATGAATTGATGTAATTTAATATTAAATATTTATATATATAATTTATAATATATTTAAAAATTTATAATTAATTTTTTAAAATAATAAATTATTTAATTTTACTTTATCTTGATTTTCTATTATATAAATTTATAGAATATTTTTTGCTTAAAAAAAATTATAAATAATAAATATTAATAAATTTAAAAGCAATTTTAATAATAATAATAAAAATAAGCATATAAATTAGTAAAAAATTGAAACGTATTAGTATTATAGAACAAAAAACTTTAAAATATTATTTTATTAATATTTAAATTTATAGACAATTAAATACTTTAAATTAGATGTTGGTATTATATACAAATAAAAATGTTTTTTTTTATTAACGAATAATATTAATATAAATTAATTTAATTTATAATGATTTTTTAAATTAATCTATTTTAATTAAAGTTTTAATAATAGAAAAAAAAAAATTAAAAAATAAGAAAAAAAAATATATATATAAATAATATTTATTTATATTAGATATATATTTTTTATTTATTTAGTTAATTAATATATAAACATAATATTATTTTTAATTTATAAATTAAAATTTATCTAAGAATAATTCATTTTTATAAATAATAATATCATTAATTTAAGTCTTCTAAAGAATTTATAATTATGTTTAATATCATTATTTATAATATTATTTACAAAAACATTTTAAATACTTTATCCCTAAACAACCCGTTTAAACTTTCAAATATCTATGTTTTTTATAAAAGTTATATATTCTTCTTTTTTTTTAATTGTATTTACTTCTTAAATTCAATTTTTTTAGTAAATGAAATCTAGATTTTTAGGAAATATTTTAATGCATTCATAATTTATACATAATATACAGAAAAAAATTTAATACATTAATTTAAATTATTTACAATTATATATTGAACATATTGATGCTTATATTTTTAATTTAATATATTTTCCAACGTTTCCAATATATAAAGTTAATAATTGTAAATAGAGTTATGTTGTTGCTATTTTATTATACTTAAATAAATGATTTAAGATATTTTATTAATTGCTTTTACATTTTATTAAACATATAGATTTTATTAATAATAAAAATAATAATTTCGTTAAAGAAATAATATAATTTAATATTATTAAATTAAATATAAAAAAAATATATATATAAAATACAATTAAATTTATAATATATAATTTAAATAAAATATTATTATATTATATTTTATGTCTATATATATTATATTATTTTATTTTTTTAGTTTTATTATAATATTTTAATATCATTAAAATTAGTAAATATTTATATTTATTAATTTATAAAATATTTAATTATATGTTATTACATAAATATTATAATTAAATATATATTAGTTTTTTTATTATTATATATTTAATAAGTTTATATATAAATTTAAAATATTTTAATTGAATTATCTATTTTAAATTTCATTTAATGAATAAACAATTAAATATTCTCGTTTTAAAACTTATATATATAATATCGTTAATATAAATTATTTTTTTATTAAAAATTCTATAACATATACTATTAAATCAATAGTAAAACCATTATAATTTTTTTAAATATAAAAATAAAAAAGAACAACTTTATAAATAGTAAAAATTGATAAAAAGAATACTTAAAAAATAAATAAAAAAACATTAATAGAAATGATATTTATTTTAATTAAAATACAGATCAAAAACTCTTTATATATTTTTATATTTAAATATTAATAAAATTTATTAATATTGAGATAAAAAAAAAAAAACTTTTTTATATTTATAAATTTATCATATTTTTTTATTTTTTTATTTTTTTATTTTTTTATTTTAAAAAAACTTATTAATATCCAATTAATTTAATTCTGTAAAATATTAAGCTTATAAACTCAATTTACTTTTTATAGAAGGCATAATAACATTCTTTTAAGAAAGCCCATATCCATTTTATTTTTTTTATTTTTACAAAACATATTTTATTGTATTATTTTACCTTAACTAGAAATTTCTCTTTATTTTCTAATATTTTATTGAGTTAAATTTCTTGAAAAATTAAGAGAATTTATAACTTCTTTTTAATTTTTTTTAAATTAACAGAACTTTTTATACTACAACTAGATTTATTTAATTATTTATGCTTATTTTTTTAATAATTTTATTATAATATCTATCCGGTACTTTCATTGCTTTTATTAGTTTAAAATTCTTAACTTTTTACACTATAAGTGGAATTATTTAAAATTGAATTTTCATTTGAATTTATTTTGCTTTTATTTATTTTATATAAATTCAAATTTATTACTTTTATAGCCTTACTTTTATTAGATTCTTATTTTTTTTATTATAATAATAATTCTAGTTTATCACTTATATTTCTTACAAATTGTTTTATATATATTTTAATTTTTAGTTCGATTATCCCAAATGCTTATTATTAAATCTTTTTAATAATTAATTTATTTTTAATGGCGATCCTAATAATTTTTATGAAGAAATATTTTCTTAATTTTAATCTATTTAATAACTACTTTATATATTTGGTTTAATTATAGGACTTAATGCATATGATTCATAATTTAATTAACTATATCCGGTATTACTTCTTTATTGTCTTTAAAATGAATCCATATTTTTCTTTTATTTGTATTTTATATATAATAATATTTGTATATTTAGTAAAAAAAAATGAATAATTAATTAAAATATAATTTTTTTCCTTATTAATAAAGAAAATTTAATATAAATTATTATTATATTTTTTTATTATTATATTAATTTTATTATTAAATTTTTTGTTTTCTTTTTTAATATTATTAATATTAAAAATAATATTTTTGATTAATTTGAATTATATTAATTTAGTATAAATAAAAATAATTGTGTTTTTATTAAATATTTATAATAAATTTATATGTTAAAAAATTAGATCATTATTTATTTATCATTTTTTGAAAATATTAATATTTAATTTATATTATTATTATTATTATCCATTTTTTTTTTTAAAAAAATGAAATTTTATAACATAAAAATATATAGAAATATTATTTTAACTTATATATTGTTTTACTATTAACAAAAATAATAAAACTATAATAAAAATATAAATATTAAAATATAGGAAAATAATAAATTAAACTCATATTTAATCTTATAATTAAAAAAAAATTTTAATATTATATATATTTAATTATATATTTATATTAATCATTAATCGATAATTAATACAATAAAAAAAAGAATTGAATACATTTTTTAAAAAATAAAGATATATATTAAAAAAAAAGAAAAAATTTAATTAAATAATAAAAAAAAATTAATTTAATTCAATAATTAAAAAAATTTAAATATGTATTAATCAATTATTAATATATATATAAATATATATATATATTTATATATATATATATATATTTATATATTTATTTAAATTTATGTTTTATAATTATAAATCTTGAAAAATTTTTAATTCATATTTTTATTATTTAAAATATATTATTATCATTTATATTTTTATATATAAAATCTTTTTTATATTTATATTAATTTTATTTTATTTTTTAAAAATAATTTAAAAATTTACTAATCTAGATTTTTTTTTTAATATTTCAGTTATATAATAAATTTTCAAAGATTAATTTTATTATAAAAAGCAATATTATAATTATATTAAGTTTTTATTATTAATTTTATGAATTATACATATATATATATGAAATCTTTATAATAATATAAATTATTCTTGTTATATATTTATTTTAATAGAAAAAATAAATATAAAGTATTATAATTATATTTAAAAAAATATATATAATTTAAATATATAAATATATTTATAAATATATATATTTTTATATCATTATATATATAAAAGTAAATTATTTATATTATATTATAATAAACACAATAAAAATATTTATTTTAATAATTTAAAATTATAATATTATATTTATTTGAATTTTATTAATATGAATAATGATTTTTGTAAATATTTATAAATAATTTATATTTTAATTTATCATAAAACTAATTATTTAATTTTAATTTAATTTGATTAAAATAAATACAAATATATTTATTCTTTTATTTAATTTAAAATTATAATAATTAAGTAATATTTCTAAATAAAAATGTTAGAAAATTAAAATAAAATAAAATAGTTTTTAAAATATTTTTAAAGTAATTTATTTTGTAAATATTTAAGTTTTAAAGACTATCAAATTGAATAATAATATATGGCAAATTAAAATGAAATAATTTAATATAGAATAATAGGTTTATCTTTATTTATGTTTGTTTTATATTTAGGATTAATATTAAATTCTATAAGATAAAATAATTTATTTATCAACTATTTACAAAATATTTTTTTATGTTTTTTGAATTTAATTATTATCCTATTGATTAAAAAAAACATATAAAGAATTATAATCGTAATTTTTTAAGTAGGTTAAATTATTTACATTTGCTATATATGTTAAAAAAATGAGGAAGAACCATAAATATTTCAAGAGAGTATTTTTTGGATGTTTTCTAGTTTTTAAATTTTATAAAATCTACGTAATATTGAACAGAAACTAATAATTGGAATAATTTAATTGATAATATATAATATATTAATAAATAATGATTTTATTTTAGTTTTATTAAGAACTTTTTTATTTTTTTTACAGAATTTAATTTTCTTTAAATTAGAAAAAACTGAAAGAAATAATTTTTTTGAGTTAAAAAGTGAAAATAAGAATTTTTATTAAATCTAAAAATTAATTCACGAAAAAATTTAATGCGGAGTACTCGTTATAACAAATGAAGATAAAAATTTAAAAGTTTAATTCGCAAATAAAATTCTTCTTTAGTAATTTTAAATTGATTCAGATGATAAAATTTTGGAAAAACTAAAGGAAATTTAAATAAAAAAGGAAGGCGAAAAAGGTAGTTTCTATGAAAAAATAAGTGTATATTTGTCAAAATAAGGTTGTTATATTTAAGAAAACCATATTTTTTAATTAAAATAGAATTTATAATATAAAAATATATTAAAAAATTCATTAAATATAATAGAAAATTCAATAAATAATGCATGCTTAATATAAAAGACTTAAAGAAAATTAGAAAAGAATTCCTAAAGTGATTTTTCTTATGATTTTTTTAAAGAAGATATTAATGAAAAAAGTTTTGATTTTAAATTGAATTATTCTTTTTGGGAAGAAAAACCTTGCTTAGTTATTTTAATAAGTGATTCTATGTAAAAAATCATAAATAAAAAAATATAAGAAATCGAGAAATATAAAGAATAATTACTCTATATGATATCCCATATTAGTAAGACTCCACTCAATTCAATTATCAATATGTCCGAGGTGCTTCTTTATTAATTTACGAAAGAAGAATTAGAAGAAAAGAGGCAAGATTTTGTCCAAAATCTACATATTATTAAAAATAATGGACTTATTTTGCTTTATTCCATTTATAATATAACTGACTTATCTCAAAATATTGATGTTAATGTCGAGAAATTCGATTTTAAGTCTATTATAGGGGGTATATTGGATATTTATTTATATTAGATAGGTGAAAAGAGTCTATAAGTGAAGTAAAAATACGAAATTATTGAGATTTAAAACGATAAAAAGCGATTAATGTAAGTACTTTTTGAAATAGTTGGAAATGCAATAAAATATACACAAAAAGGGAGAATTTAGATTCAAACAAAAAATGAAAACGAGCATCTTTTTTGGATAAAAATATCGGATACAGGGTAGGGCATTTCATAAAATATTTAAAATAAAATGTTTAATTTTTTGAAAAAAAATCACTCTAATTAAGAACATTAAATAGACTAATTTAGCCATAAATCATTTGCAGGTTTAGGCTTAGAATTTACACGAAAAATAGCAGGCATTTTAGGACCTTTTGATAAGGTTTTTATTAATTCAGGGGTAAATAAGGGTGCTTCTTTTAAATTTTTGATTTATAAAAATTACTAGAATAGAGAGATGGTGAATATTAAGAATTTAAAGAGAAAAATTATGTAAGATTTAAATGAGAGAAATGAGGAAATACTTACTCCGGATTATGTTTAGATTAATAAAAGGAATAAATAATTATTTACTTGCTAAAACATAGGATATTTGTAAAAAAAATAAAGGTTTTTAAGATTTTCTTAAGATCTTAAAGTCGAGAAATATTAAATTGATTAAAAGAGTAAATTTAAGAAAAGCAATGAAGTTCATAAAGTGAAAGATTCATTTATAATGGAGAAAATTAATGAGAATTAAATAAATAGTTTAGAGAAAATAAGTGTGGATAATTTAGAGTAAATAAATATGGAAAATCTGGAGTAAATATAAATAAATATGGAAAATGTAAAATAAAAAAATATAGAAAAAGAAGAAAAAATAAATGAAGAAAAAATAAGCGAAGATTTTTTAGAAAAAAAAAAAAAAAGAAAAAAAAAAATCTCAACCTCTTAAGAATTTCTTAAAGAAGATGATTTAAATTCAGTAAAATTTCCTTATTAAAATTTAACAAAAGAAAATGATTTAAAAAAAATCGAAAATAAAGATTTAACTTTTAAAAAAATTAAAACTAAACATTATTTTAATTAATAATCTTTAAAAAAAACCACTTTTTTAAAACAATAAAGTGATATGGATAATATATATAATTAATTAAATTAAATATTTTAATAACCATCATATATATTGGCTACAGATGATACTCCTTTTAATTTATTTGTATTAGAAAAATCTCTTGAAAAATGCAAGAATATAATTTTTCATAAAGCCAATAGTGGTAAATAATGTATTGAATAAGCCCTTTTATTAAAATTAAAACATTAAAAAGACTATATGTTATATTTTATGGACATATAAATGCCTGATATGGATGGATATTAAAGTTTTAAATAGCTTTAGGTACTTATGGATAGTTAATAGATTAAATAAGCACCTGTTTTTGCACTTACAGCATTTTCAGAAGAGAAACAGAAGTGTCTTTAGTCAGGCATGTAAGGGTTTATTGAAAAACCTTATTTATTAAAGGATCTTGTGGAAATATTATACAATTATTTTGTTATTAATATTATTTATAATTAATAAAATACAAAAAATTGAAATTAATATCCTTTTAATTTTTTACAAATATAATAGTAAAAATTATATATATATATATATATATATATATATATATATATATATATATATATATATATATATATATATATATTATTATTTTATATTATTATTTATTTTTTTAATAAAAGATCACTTTAATTAAATTAAATAACAAAAAATTTTATTTCAGGATATTGATAAAAAATTAATTTAAAAGATTATACGAAGTTATATAAAATGAATAAATTTACAAAAGAGAATATATGGATAATAAAAGGAAGAAGTTACATATTTTATTTCAATAAAAATAAAAGATATTTAAAATAATTAAATCAACTGGGATGAAGTTAATATTGTTAATTGAAATAGTTATAAAGATATTTATGAAACATATAAAATATATGTTAAATGATTTTTTTTTTAATAAATTTTTAATTTATTAGAACTAGAAAATTTATATTCATTTTTATTTTTGTTATATATATATATATATATTAAAATAATATAAAAATTTTATTTTAGTTATAATTTTTTTTATTACTTTAAATTATAAATAGTAAAATAAATAATATAATTTTTAAATATTTATAAATAATAATAAAAATTAAAAATAGTATAAATAAAAATCATCAATAATATTAATTTTTATTTTAATAAATATAAAAGAATTTTTATTTTTTCAAAAAAATCATATATTTAAATTAATAAATAAGAATTATAATATATATTTTTATAAAAAAAATATTTTATATAATAATAAAATTAACAACCACTTCCATAATAATAATTATATTAATAATAATATTAAAATATACAATATCTAATGATTCCTCAACCATAAGGAGTATATATATAAGCTTAATCTGGTTTATAATAATTAGAAAATTTATAAGGAGTTTTCATCAAGTAGAAATTCGAGGCTTTAGAGGCTTTAATAGGTTACGAAACACCAAACGTATATAAAGTATTTCCTGCTGATGCGAACGGAATATAATAAGGAAATAATACAATTTTTAAATGTAAAGAAAAGAGCAGTTGCTTAGCCCGAAATTGCTTACCAGGAAGCTGTCGTCCATTTAAAATGAAGTGTAGTAATTACTAAGGACAAGTGAAGGAGACTGGATTTGAATAATCGATGTTTATGCTATTAGAAAGGCCTTTTACTTGTACCTGCTTGTGCCTTGCGAGACCTGTTCTAGATGTAATTATTGTTGAGAATGGCTAAAATTAAAATATTGGAAAAATAATAAGCCCTTGTCTGATGTGTAGTTTAGGATTAAATATATAGGACGCTGTAGGAAACTTGAAATATACAATTATGGGTAGTCTTTGTTAAGTAGGAGTATGCTGTAAAGGTTTACCATGTGAAAGTTGTCAGACTGTAAGATTCGAGTTAAAGGATGCAGAGGGTAAAACGGTTTCTAATATCACTAAACTTACAACAGGATGCTTAAAATCATGTGTGGGTGATAGTTCGAATTTCTCAGTTTGCTTTCCATTGCAGTCTGCGGCGACGGATAAAGCTTTGATTGTCGCATCTACATTATTTTTAGATTATATGTATTTCGAAGAGAATCCTAATGAAAATAATTAAAATTATTGATTAATTTATAGGAATAATATATTTTTTATTAAATATAAAATTTGCATATTTTATAATTTTTATAGACATTATATAATATATTCTATATTAAAAAATGAAAACTTATTTTAATATATTATTATATTATGATTTATTTTTAAATAAAAAACAATTAATTTTAAATTTAAATTTTTATATATTAAATAATATAAAAATTATTATATATATACATATATATAATATCAATCAAATATTTAATTTATACTTTAAAAAGTAAAATAAATATATAGTTATATTTATAAATATATAAAAAGTAAATATACACTTATAAATTATATATTATATATTTATTAATTTTTATATTCAAAATAAAAAAATAATTATCAATAAATTATTTACAAATCTTCTTCTGAAAGGAAAAATTAATTTAATTTATCATATTCCCTGACCATATCTAACACCCATTTGTTTTCCGCACATTCCTCTACAGTAATTTTTAATTACGGATTAAGAAGCATTTTAATAAACTCTTTACATTCAAGACTTATATATTTTTAAAATGAAAAGCTTCCCTTTTATATATTATTAAAAGTTCCATTAAAACTATTCTCATAAAAAGGAGTAATTCCTTATAAAAGTGTATATAAAACTACTCCTAAAGCCCAAATATCAACCTATTAATCATATTCTTTCTCATTTAAAATAAAAGGACTTAAATAGTCTAAAGTTCCACAAAATGTTTTCCTTGTTTTTTATCTATCTATTAAATATCTACTGTATCCAAAATCAGCTAATTTAAGTATTTCCTAAAATATATATATAGTATATAGATTTTTTTTTGTTTAAAAAAATAAAAAATACATTAGATATAAGTAAATTTTCTAGTTTAATATCTCTATGCATGATGTTTTTTTAATGCAAATAAATTATAGAATCTAATAATTATTTTAAAAAATAACCTGCTTATAATTCATTGAAGACATTTTTTTATTTTTCAATGAATTCTTTTAGTTAACCATCTGGTGCATATTCCATAATTAAATAAAAAAATACAGAATCATCAAATAATCCATAAAGTTAAACTATGTTAGGATGCTTTAATTAAAAATGAACTTTTAGTTCTTCCGAAAATTATTCTTCCATGTCTTATTTTATTATTTCTTCTTTATTTATTCTCTTTATTGCAATTAAAAAACAACTCTTTAAATCTAAGGCTAAAAATACTTCCGAATGTTTGCCTTTCCCTATTTTTTTGAGAACTCGAAGACGCAATTTTTGCATTGTTCGATTGAACATATTCTAAATATTGTTCTATATGTTCGCAAATTAACTTTCTTTATGTTAAGTAGTTATTCTTTCTTCAATAAAACTTTCATTTGAACAAACACTGGTCAATTAGTTTTATTATAAGAAATCAGAAGTTTATGTACTTATTTTTTTTTTATAATTAGCTATAATCTCATTTATATTATTATTTTAGTAAAAAAAGACAGCCTTTTTTTAAAATAAATCAGGATTTTTTAAAAAACTTTCATGTTGTTTTTACTTTAAATCATTAATTATTTTCTGGGTTTATAAATTTGTTTAAAAAGATGTACTTTTTTCATTATTCGTAGTTAAAAGTTTTTTGTTTTAATTAAAAACGTATTAAATTTAATTTTATTACTTAAAAGAAATATTTTATTCTAAAATATTATTTAATGATGGATTTGAAAGAAATTATTATTATCTTTTATTTTAAAAATTGTTTTTATGGCTTTTATTTAAGAAAAGTTATATATTTGTATTTTTTTAATTTTATTATGTTAATTATTGTAATTTAATACTTTTTAATAAAGATTCTATTTTATCATTTTAAAAGGATTTATGTTCATATGTTTTTTTATATTAATTTATATTATAAAATTATTTTTATTCAGAATTATTGTATTTTTTTTATTCAAAAATATTTTATATTTTAGGTTTATTTAAATTAGATACTGATGTCGAAATTCTTTAAAAAATATTATTTTCTTATTCTTTAATATTTTCGTTTTGTTTTCTTAATGGAGAGGTTTAGATATAGTTTATGGTGTTTGTTTTGTATTTAAGGTATAATTCTTTGCGTTCTTTATCTTTTAAGTTCTTTTAATTTTTGAAATCAATGATAATTTAACGGGATTCTTCTGATATATAACATAATTACATAATTTTATTATAAAATATAATGTATTTAATTTTATAATATATAAAGAAATATTTGCTAGGTTATATATATATATATATCTATTTAATATTTTAAATAATTTTTTTTTTTTTAAAACTTGTTTTTCTTTTATTTTTATTATATTTTTAAATATGTTTATTTAAGTTAATTTAAAAAAAGATTTTTTATTTTGTTATATGTATTTTTGTATTTTATATTTATAATTACTTATCTTTTTACAAATATCTAATTGTTTTTAAAATTTTATTTATTTATTAAATAAAAATTGAAATTAAATATTTTTATAATATTAATTTATATAATTTTTTTAGATATAAAATAATGTCTTTTAATAAGTTTTTATTTAAACTTTAAATTATATTTTTTTATTAATATTATATTTCATTTATAAAATTTAATCTTATAATATATTTATTACAATATTTTACTAAAAACAATTTTTTATATTAATTAAAAAATAAATAATTAAATTATTTAAAATTACAATATTTTATATAATAATATTATATTAATAATTTTAATTTAATAATTTAATAAGAATTATTTATAAATATATTTAATATTTTTTTTTTATTTAAAATATAATTATTCTTTATTAAAACATTTTATATATATAAAAAAATTTATAATAAAAATATATCTTCTTTATTTAATAAAAAAAAAATATTATTATAATAATTTTATATTATAAATAAATATATATTCTTTTTTAAAATATAAATAATATTATGGAAAAAAAAGATTAAAATTAATCTTAGAAAGATTAAGATTTATAAAACGATGAATTTATAGGTTATGCAATAGAGCCAAAATAAGACTGCCCTCATTTTTAAATAAAAGAAATAAATGATTTGTCTTCTCATTTAGATACCTATAAATAAGACTTATTAGATTTTCCATGTAAAACATGTTCCCATAAAGGCGAAAATTGGATATGTTTAACATGTTTACATATATATTGTTCTAGATATATAAAAGGAGATATGGCAATGCATTTCGAAGAATCCAAACACAGTATTGTTTTTTCATTTAGTGATGGCAGTTTTTGGTGTTATAAATGTGATACTTATATAACAAATATTTAATTAAAGTGTTTTACTTTAAAATTTTCTTAAATAAAACACAATGAGGATTTTTCTAAAGATGAAATTTAAAATATAAAAAAATAACTCGATAAATTTAAAATAGATGAAAAAACTAAAAAATTTTCAAGGTAAAAATTAGTAGAAGGCTTTTAAAAAAAAACTTTCAAAAATGTAGTTTTCCTTACAGGAGCTGGAATTAGTGTTTCGGCAGGAATTCCTGATTTTAGGACTCCTGGAACCGGTTTATATTCATAATTAGAGAAATATAATTTTCCTTACCCAGAAGCAGTATTTACGTTAGCCTATTTTAGAAAAAATCCACTGCCTTTTTACAAATTAGCGAAGGAGTTCTTATAATGTAGGGCCCATTTTACCATTAATCATTATTTTATGGCTAAAGTGTATCAATAAGGGGCTCTTTTGGCTAATTTTACACAAAATATAGACGGTTTGGAAATAGAAGCCGGTATTGCTAAAGAAAAAATAATTTAAGCACACGGACATTTTCGAAGTGCAAGATGTATAGATTGTAGTGAAAAGGTAGAGATCGAAAAATTATATTTGGAAATTGAAAAAGAAGAAATTTTAAAGTGTGAAAAATGTAATGGATTAATAAAACCTGATATTGTGTTTTTTGGTGAATAATTACCTTAGGAATTTATTTAGAAAGTTAAATTGCTTAAATAGGCTGATTTAGTTATTATTATGGGTATTTTTTTTTACTTAAAAAAAAATATTTTAATTTTTTTTATATATAGGAACGTCACTTGTAGTTTAACCTTTTTCTTCTTTAGTTGAATTTATCGATTCTAAAGTACCTTTAGTGCTTATTAATAGGGAAAATAATGTTGTTAAAGATAATAATGATAGTTTTTTGTTTATTGAAGGCGATTTAGATAATAATGTGAGGCTTTTATTGAAAGATATTGGATGGGAGTGTCCAGATATTGATGTAAAATAACCTTTATAGGCTTAATTTGTGAAAAATGATAAAAATGAGGATATTAAACAATAAAATTCTGATAGTTGAATATATATATATATACATAAGTATATATTACTTTTTATATTTTTATTTTTTTAATATTTCTTTTTTTTTTTTTGATTAATAACACAATTCGAAAGAGTTATGGCCTTTATATTTAATTGAGTTTATAAAATAAAATTAAGGAGAAAAATTAAAATAAAAAATTTAAAAAAGTAATATTTATATAAATTAGAGTTTTATATTTATTTATTTTAAAAAAAATACTTTTTCTATTGGATTTTTCTAAAAACAAATGATTTATAATTTAAAAAAGTATTATTAATTATATTTAAATAAATAGATAAATATATGCTCATATTATATTTATGTATTCTTATTTTTTTTAAAAAAAAATATCAAATATTAATATTTTAAATTAATATTCACATATATTGATTTTTTTAAAAAGTAAAATATAAAATCTAGAAGATTATCACCCTTATTTTTTTATTAGAAAGAAATATATCTTCTAAGTATTTAAATTATTAAAATAATATTATATTTTTTTAAAGTTTATATAAAAAATAAAATAAAATAAAAAATTATTCTAAATAAGCATTTATATTTATAACTTAAAAATATAAATACTTTTACTCAAAATATATACCTTTTAAAAATATTGGCTTTATTCCAAGTAAATAAATAATAAATGTATATGGAAATATTTTATAAAACCTATCTATATATACATTATAAAGAAAATCTAAATATTGAAAAATATAAAGCTTCTTTATATAAAATAAAAATACAGAAAATCAGCAAATCATCTAATATGATTTGATTTATAAAATACATAAAAAAAATTGATATTGCAGATTTATTTATTATTATTACTTATATTATAAAATAACAATTATGTATAATTTTCTTATATTTTTAATCCTTTATAATTTTTAGTGGACAAGAAAATGTCTTTAATTTAAAATTTTAAAGAAATCAAAGTAATAATAGATGATTATAATTTGATGATTTAAATTTAATTACTTATTATAAATATTGGGTAATATTATCCGTTAAATATATAAATTTAATAACTTTTTAATTTTTTTTTTTTTTTTTTTAAGAAAAGAAAAATTAGAAATAAAAAAATAAAAATAATACTTAATACTTAAATATAATAATTATAATAAATATAATTTTTTTAAGAGTTTTAATATAACAAAAACAAAAATTTTTATTTTATTTTTAGTAAAAAATTTACTTTTTTATAATATTACAAAATATATTTTAAATAAAATAAATATAATATAAAATATATTTTTTTTTTTAAAAAAAAATCTTATTTAATTATTGTTAATATAATTAATTTAGATTTTTTTTAATTTTTATTTATAATTGTTTTTAAAATATTTTCTATTATTAAATAAAAAAATGTATTAATAAAAAAACAACTATTATTAAAACTAAAGATATTATAAAAAGCCAAGTTTTTAGGAAGTTTATATACCAAAAAAAGATTTAGTAATAGAAGATTTGATTAATAAATAAACTAAAATTTAATAATTTAATTCTTACGACTCATTATAAGACGAGTATGCCATAAAAGAGATGGATAATCTTCCCATAAACAACACCAATGATTAATAATTTAAAAATAATATAAATAATGATAGTAAAATAAACTAAAAGGATAATAAACATTTTTAAAAATACTAAAAAAGAATATATACAAATAAATAAAAGTAAAATAAATATAAAAAAAGATTTTTTTATATAAATATTATATAAATATAATATAAATATACATACATTTATTAAAAAATAATAAAAAGCAATGATAATAATAAACAATAAATTAAATTTTATTATGAAAAAAAATATTAAAATAAAAATTATAGTTATAATCATCAACTTTAAAATAAAGAAAAAGTGATTTACGTATGTAAAGAAGAACAAGAAGAATAGATAGAAAAAAACAAAGAAGAAGGTAAAAAAACAAAAATGAAATTAAAAAAAATGAAAATGAATTATAAATAATAGAACAAAAATTAAAAGGAATATATATAAATTAAGAATTTAATAAAAAAACTTAACAAATAAATAATAATAAATAATAGCCTAATATTAATATAGTTGAATAATAAAGTAATATCACAAATATAAACAACATAATAATAAACAATTTGATTTAGGAAGAAAAATTCCTAAGATCAAAAATAGATAAGAAAAATAAGAAAATTAAGAGAAAAATACTTAATCAATAATTCATCAGTCCCTTAAAATATTTTTTAGCAATAATTTCCTTTTTAGTAAACTATTTCTCTTGATTATTAAAGTCCTTATTTTATTTAAAATGAATTATTTTTACAATAATAATAACAATAAGAAGAGTTCTTATTTTTAATGTAACAATAAAACTGGAATCTAATTGCTTAATAAGCTTGTTTTTCATAATTTTGTATTAATAATGATATTTAATCGGATTTTAAAGTTTGGTATTATATTGATAAATAAAATACACAGTAAGGGCCTTTTGAAAGCTATTTAATGGATACTTGGAATTTTTTAAATTATTTCCCAGATGAATTACCGGTTTCTTTTAGGAAAGGAAATTGGATTACTTTAAAAGAATTTAAAATAAAATATTAAATGAAATAGGAAAATGTTGAGTTTGTATGTTATTACTTATATGATTATTATAAAAGAAAAAATAATTAATTAAAGCTGACTAATTAGAATAGTGACAAATCTATACTTTTGTGATTTTTTTATTTTTATTTTAAAAAAAATATAATAATACTTAAAAATATATATGCATTATTTTTTTAATATAAAATCTTAAATATTTTAGTATAAAAATATGTAATTTTTTTATTTTATTTTCATAAATTAAAAAATTAAATATATTTTATTATTTATTATGATTTTTAGTTTTTTAATATGAAATAAGTTAAATATCTAGCCTATTTTTAATATATAGGTAAAAAATACAACGGATTTTAAATTTAGTTGAAAAACGGAGTACAAATGAATACTATTGAATATTAAATAGATGTATATTTAATATTACGTATATTTTTTTATAAATAAATAATATTAATTATTAAAAAGTAAGCTGTTTCTACATTTTCTAAATAAAATATAAAAACAAAGACTTGTAGTAGAACAGATTAAGGTGTAAATGCATTTAAACATCCTGTTCAATTTACTTTGAATAGAGAAGAAAACGTATAATCTTGAAAATAAAAAAAATTAAAATTATATAAAAAATATATAATTAGAAAAATATATTCAATTTAGAAACTATAACAAGAGGCATAAATTATTTTTTACGTAAAAACAATTAAAATGAAATTTCAATTACGGAAACTTATTATGTTCCTTAAAATTTTGATATAAGGAAAAATGTTAAATAAAAGTAAAAAATAAAAAATAAAATATTATATGAAAAACAAAAATATAGAAATTATAAATATTTCATTAATACAAATGTAAAACATAGATATGAAAACCCTTTATTATAAGGATAAGTCTGGAATATTTTCTAAGATATTAATACTGACAAATTTTTAAATGCACTTAAGAAATTTTAAGGTTCTTATAATTTCCTTTGCTTTACTTCTAGAGAAGATTTTTAAAATGAGGCTAATTTGTTTGTTAGAAAAATAGATGATGTTTCATTTTAAGTTTCTGAAAATATGTTCCTATTTTTATTATTTTATTTATTTATTTATTTTTAAAAGGTTTCATAAAGATATAAAAACTATTTAAATAAGTATTAAAGGAAAATCGTTTTTAAAATATTAAATTAGATTCATGATTGGAGTCGCTTATTTATATAGTATTGGATAAATTAATGATTAATATATTGATTATTTACTACATCCAAAAGGAATATTAAATTAATATAATCCTTTAAATCTAAAAAGGATTAAAGCTCCTTCTGAAGGATTATTTTTATTTGATGTTGAGTTTCAAGAAGGATTTTTATAGAAAGAAATCAATGAAGAATTAATTTTTTGATTAAAATTATAATTTGTATTTAATAAATGAAATTTGTTTCAAAAAAATTTATTTATAAAATAAAATGATTTTTTTATTAATTAAATATATAAATAATTAAAATTATTAAAATTTAAAAATAATTAAAAATCATATGTATTTATAAAAATTTATTTAAAAATAATGATTAAATAAATAAAAAAAAATTAACATATATAAATATAAAAATATATTAATTATATGCATAAATAAATATATATATATTTTATAATATTTTTTATATATATATATTATATAATTTTACTTTTTTCTATTATTTACTTATATATATAAATTAAAATTAAAGAAAATGGAATTTGAAAAAAACATATTTACAATATACAAAAAGTCACTTTCTAATAATAATAGTGGGTTTTTTTTTAGAGTAACGAAATATATATTTTTTTCTTTCGGTAAATTTGTATACCTTTTTAGTCTATTTAATTTTTTTTTCTATACATATATAATTTAAAAAAGCATCTTTTTATTTTATCACGTTTTTATTTGCTAGAATATTTTTTTAAAATACAGGTGGTTGTTTAGGTTAATTACTTAATGATAATAGACATTCAAATATATGTACTTTTTAATTATTTAGCATGTATATATTTTAAGTTATTTATGTATAGTTAATTAATCTAACTAAAATTATTTAGTTACTCCTGCAGATACTATTTTTTATTACAATATATGCAATTATAATAAAACAAGTGCTTAGCCAGTACAAATATATAATTATTAATATTACGATCATTAATAATAAACTGATAAAGAAGAACCTATATCTCAAATGCCATAATATATGAATATATATACAAATAATTTATTAGAAGAATGTATTAGCAAGCCAATTATTTAATTCGAACATTCAGCATTTTAATAGGCTCTTGAATATCCAAAATATATGAGGTATTATTAAGTTTAATTTTAAAAATGCTAACATATAAATATATAGATATGAGAGAAATATGACCACAGTAATTTTTTATATAGAACCTTCATGTTATGCAAATAATTTTTTATCGAAATTTTATATATTTAATATAATTGATATTGAGACTATATTAATAAATGAAATAACTTATGCATTTAGGTTTTTTATATATAAATAAAAAAATGAAAATAAATAAATATAGAAATTAAGATATTATAATAAGAAATCTTTATACAGGAGAATTATGGGGTTGGTCTAAATAATAATTACGTTAATATTTACATGAAAGTTATTTAGTTTTATTTTTTACTGCTTTATTTTCACTCTTTAAAATCACTTTAGGCATATTTTTTATTTCTAATGTATCTGCATTATATATAAAAATAAGTATAATATGTTCTCCCGTACTAATTTTAATTATAAGTATAACATATATTTTATATATTTCTATAAAAAAAACATTTATAAAAATATAAAATAGTGGATTGTTTGCATTGCTTGGGCTAAATAGATAATGAAAATACTTAAGCAGTAATATAGAATTTTCCATATTTAGGTTTATATTTACATGCGTTATAAAACGGTCCTCGTAAACATTTAATTTTTTCATTTTTAAAACTAATACTTTTTGTATATATAATATACTTATCATCCTTATATACTTGCTACTACATATTGTTTTACAAAAGCATTCCAAAAGGTTTAGATGAAAATTTAATCGCATGTTTAACTATATTTGAACTTATTACTTTAATTTTTATAAGAACCCGCTCAAGTATAAAGTGGTTTCCTTTATTTTCAATGTTGATAATTTATGTTTTTTTATTTTATGTATAAAATACTGTCTACGGATTTTATTCTTTAATCATGTAGGCATCTATGCTTACTATTTTGGGTATTTTTTCACTTTTAATTTGCGAATTTGAAATTCCTTCCATAAATTGGAATGATTCTTATCATTTTACACCTTCTTATCACAGACCTCGATGCTTATATTTTCCTTTATTTAATTTATCATGGTATTATGACTTGCCTTAATTATGGACTATATTTTATCCTGTTTATGCCAGAGAGGCTTTTAGTTAAAGTTAGTTGGCATTAGTAGATAGTAATTATCTTTTATTGAATTAAAGTTTGGAAGAAGCTGAAAGATAAAGTGAAAATAATATGCTTTTTTAAGCAAACGAGTAATTTGGGGGATAGAGATTAGCTTAAGAAAATAATAATGTCCAATATAATAATAATGTTGAAAATAATAATAATGTTGAAAATAATGTTTAGGTTGAGATATAATAATAAGAAATTTAATAAATAAATAATAATTTTTAGTAGTCAGCAAATAATATTGAAGAATTTAATAATAATAATAATTCGAATGATAATGATAAAGATAATAAATAACTTCTTTCAGGTTAAGGATAAATTATTGGAGGATGAAATATTAAGAAGGATGTATTATAAAGATATGAGTAGCTAAGCAAATGAATTAAATAAAATATAAATATATATAAATGTTTTATTAAATTTTTATTTATTAAAAAAAAGTTTTTTTATTCATTATATGATATAGATTTATAATAATGTTATTTATTTTTTTAAAAAAATATTATGATTTATTTTAAAAATAAAAAAAATTATATATAATATTAAGTAAAAATAAAGAATTATAAAATTTATAAATAAATATATGTATAAAATATGTAAATATTTTAAAAAACTAAAAATAATTATTATATTAAAATTAAAAAAATAAAAATAATTAATATATAAATAAAATATAAAAAATTAATTTATATAATTAATAAAAAATATTTATATTAAAGAAATTAAAATAATTATAAATATATATATATATATATAATATATATATAAATATATACAATTCTGTATATATAAATATTAATAATAATTTAATTTATTATTAAATAAATATATTAAACATGACATTAATTATTATAATAAATTTATATCATTTTTAAGTATTAAATAAAAATACATATATTTTTATATATTTTAATAAAATAAATAATATATATAAATTTAAAATAATATAATAATATTTTTTAATAAAAACAATAATAATTGTAATTATTACATATTAATAATATATTTTTTATTTATTAATTAAATATTATTACTATTAAGGAAATATTCATCATAATTTATTTTAAATATAATTTTTTTTATATATATAAATTTCAATTTTAATATATTATTTATATATAGTTAATTTATAATATATTTATTTATTGTTTAATTAAATTAAATCAATTGTCTAAAATAAGTATTTTGCCTATAACGATGAAATTATTTCAACTAAATATAATTATTGCTATTTTATCATTATTATTATTAATAAATTAATGATCTTAATATAATTATATTTTTAAACAATAGCTAGTTTTTTATTTATTTATATATAAAATTTTATTAAATAAAAATAATAAAAAAATATAATTTAATTAATAGTATAAATAATAAAATATTAGATTATTAAAACATAATTATATTTAAAAATAGAATATAAATAAGCTTAATTATTTAAATAAAGAAAAAATAATTATATATAAATATATATATATATAAATATATATATAAATTTATATAAATATAAATATTTATAAATAAATAAAAAAACATAAAATAAATTATACTTAAATTTTTAAAAATATTAATTTGTATGTTTTAATCAGTAATTTAAAAGATTTCATTTATAATTAATATCCATTAATTAAATATTTAATTGTTTTTCATTATGTAATAATTTATATTTAATTTCTTATTAAAAATCAATGAATTCATACCAATTTTTTTTAACAAAATATAAAATTTAAACTATACAAACTCCCGCATTTTAAAATATATAAAAAATCCAAAAAACTTTCATTAACTAATTTTAATTTACAAAAAAAGTCACAAAAATTAATCCAAAACCATAATATATAATAATATAAATATACAAAAGAATTTTTTATTATCCGATTCCTTTTAAAATTCCAGCAAAAACATACTAATTAGATTCAAAAAAACACGCAAAAATTACATAAAAATTTAAACTTAAATCAAAAAACATAATCTTATTTACATTAATAGCTTTAATAAAATTTTTCAAAGGAATATTAAATATATAAACACTTGTCATTTATAAAATAAAACATATATTACATGCTATAACACCTATTAAAGCTGCCGTTTATGATTTTTTTTAGCTTATTCACCTATTGTTTATCCTACAAAGCTACTTACAGATATTGAAATACCATTAGGGATTGCAAAATACATTTATTTTAAGGCTGAATAGCATAAGAAGGTATATAAAGGCCCCTCTTAATGTAAATAAATAGCACACAAAGACACTAAATCAACATAAAAATGCTGTAAGTAGAAAGCAAATCCTGGCGGGAAAATGAATTTAATAAAATCTATCCATTCGTAACACATTCTGACTGTAATTCCAATAAATGATGGTAAGTTTTTTTTTTACAAAGTTTTCCAAAGAAAAAAAAGTGCACAAAAATCTCCAAAAGTTTTTCCGTAAGTCATATATTTTAGATTTTGTGAAAAGAAAAAATAATAAAAAAACTAAGAAAAAATCAAAGAAAAAAAAGATTAAATAAACTAAGCTTAAAACGGAATTTTAAATAAACTTTAACCAAATAAAAATAAACAAGTTACATCGTAAAGACTATAAAATAAAATACTTAAAATACTATAGTTTATATATTATTTTGCATATTTTAAAATCTCAGAGTCGTTTGTCGAATCTAATAATCGCAATATAAAATCTTGGAATATTATTGTTAATATAAATATTAATAAATATGTAAATTAAAATGCTAATGCTCGCTGATAATGTTTTCCTACTTAATATGGGTCTTTTTAACCGTGGAATTTACTTATTAATGTTATTATGTTACTGTTAAATTAATATGCTAATTAATATCCAAATAAATTTAAAAATGTAGTTCCTTTTATTTTAATTATATACAAATATTATAATTTTTTATTATTAATAATTTTTAATTTATTTTTTACATTTTATATATTTTATTTTTATTTTATAAAAGATAATTACCTAATAAATATCCATTTAATAATTTAATATTTTTTGTTTAAGTTATTTAATATATATTTATACAAAATTAAAAAATTTGATAAGTATAGATGCTATTTAATATATTGAAACTCCTATTAATTCTATGCAACTTGTTATTATTATTTGTGGATGAAGGTATGCTAGAAAACTAGTATATTATTCTCCTAATATAAAATCTGGAATCACTTGTTCAGAATTTTAGTTATTTGTGGATTTTCTGAATACATTCATTTTTTATTTTTTTAAAGTATTCTTTTTTTTAACAAAAAAAAATATTGTAGAAATTAATTTTTTAATATTTTTTTTTCTTTTTATAATTTTTATTTTTATGTAAATAAAAATAAATATATAATTTTTTTTTTATTTATATATATTTAAAAAAAATATAAATATTGAATATATTTTTTTAATATATATATAAAAATGGTAAAAAACATAAATAAAAAAATAATAAAATAAAAAAATTTTAAAGTCCTTTTTAGAATTAACAAAATATAAATGGGATAATATTTAACCATTATAAGAACCTGAATAAAAAGGAATTCAAATAATATGTGATTAAAAATGTAAAAAAATAAATAAAAAAAATGGAAAAATGTATATAAATTAGATACTGAAGCAATGAATTATTTTCGAATAATTATAAAAAACGAAGAAATAAGTGAAAGAGCTTTTGAATTAACAGGATATATACTAAATAAAGTATAATCAAATTAATATGCTTGGATTTTAAGAAAAAAATGTTTATAGCAATTAAAAAATATATCTTTAGAAAAAGAATTAGATTATATAAATGAATTAACATTAAATGGAGGTTTTAAAGTCTATTAAATATGGTAGTTAAATTAAATTAAATATATAAATATATAAATATATAAATATATATATATATTTATATATATTTATATATATATGTTAAATTATTAATTAAATACTATTAATATAAATAATAATAATATATATATGTTATTATATATAAATAAATCATTATATATTTAATAATTTATCATTTTTTTTATTCCCTAAAAATTTAAAGATTATTACTATTATTTTTATTTAATTTTTTTTTTTTATTCAGATTATTATTATTTTTTATATTTTAATTTATTTTTATTTTTATTTAATTTATTTTATTTATTATTTTTAATTAATTATAAATTTACAGGTAACACAGAATATTTATTATTGATTTACTAAATAAAAATGATAATGAAATTAAATTTTTAGAAGAAAATGTTTTTGCTGAAGATGAAGTTAATTATCATGGTTGGAAATACAGGTATATTTTTAATTATTTTATTTATTATTTAATTTTAGAATATGGCTTTGTTAACGTTTTTAAATGCATAAAGAAGAGTAATTATAATTAAATATATTATTAAATTAAAGTTTGTAGAATAATTCAATTTGGCATTATAGATATTATATATTAAAAAATAATTTATTTAAAAATAAATATCAATTTTAGATAGAAATTCAGTTTATATTTGATATTATACTAAATTTTCCTACTAATGAGTGTGCATGGAATTATTTAATTAGTTGGTTTAAAATTTATGAATTTAAAAATTTAAAAGTCGATATTTAAGATGAAAAATATTCTTTTAAAGAATTTTAAGAAATAGAAAATTTCGTAAATAAAATGTTAGAAAATTAAATAAACTAATATTTGCTGTATTTTTAAGTTTAGATTTAATTGTAGTCTTATTAAAATATTTAAAAAGCTAATTTAGTATTTTATTATTATTAATAACAAAAAAAAAAAAAAAAAGTATTTAGATTAACTTTGTATATATGATAAAATTCGGAAGCCATATTGGAAATGGTATTAGAAATAATTAGAAAATGATTTTAAATGAACAAATAAATAATTATAAATAAATAACATAACTATAAATAAATAATATAATTATATATAAATCAATATACTCAAAAATTATATTAAATTTAATAAAAACTTAAAATACAGTATAATAATTTCTTATATAATATCCGTTTTAATAACAAAATAATCAATTTAAATAAAAACTTTTTTTAATATAAAAATTTATATATTATATAATCATTTTTTTCTTTTAAGTTAAAATTCATATGATTTATTATATATGTTAAATTTTTTGTTATTCTGGAAATTTCTACACATTTGGATACATTTTTTTATTTTATCATTATAAAAAAAATATCCTCCAAATTAATTCTAATTTTTTAAAGTTATATTAAATAAGTATTCAAAAGCATAATTATGATTATTATTTTTGGATTTTATATTAATTTTTATTGCTTTTGTCAATTATCATCTACCAAAGCCTTAAACATTATTTTAAAATATTCGAAAAATTCGATTGAATTATTTGATTAAATATAAAGTCATGGTAATAATAGAGGTTATGTAAATAAATTCAAAATTGAATATTTTTTTTTTTAAATGTTTATTTTAAAATTAATTAATTGTAAAAAATAAAATAATTTATAAATATATTTTTTGATATAAATTAATATATTAAAAAAAAAAATGAATTAATTTATTTAATTTGATTCTCCTTTTATATATAAAAAATAAGAAATTAAAACTATAACTAATTTTAAAAGACTTTTTTTAGATTAATAAGATAAACACTTCTCTTTTTTACATAATATTGATTAATAGTAAGCTTCTTCACCTAGAGATTCTATTTAATCAATTAAATTGCGCTAAAAAACATCAAATTTACCACCTTTATCGTATAAAATTAAATAATTGAGTTTAAAAGTTAAAGATTAAGTCGATACTTTTTATTAAATAAATTAACCATAATAAAATAATTAACCTGTATTTTTACACAAAAAAATCGATTTAAATAATTCAAATACAATCTTAAATAAATAAATTTGTTAACACAATAAAAAAAAATCGCTTATAAATACCCGAAAAACATTATTAAAAAACATAAAATAAAAGAAACAAATTCTATCAGAAGATTTCGGCTATAAAAATAAAAAAAATGAGGAAAATATAAAATTCTAAATGAAAGTTTCCCAAATAAAAAATGCCTATAATGACGATTTTAATAAAATTCCAAAAGACATGAAATTAGCTTATTATAAATCTAATTTTTTATTTGATGGATTTTTCGAAAATTAAGAATTAAAAAAGAATTTTATGTATATTTAATTATAAAATTAATAATTTTTACATAAACAAAATGATATTTTATCTGATTAAAATAACAAATGCTTTAAAAAATTAGTTTTAAAGGAAGGACGAAGTAGTTTATATAAAAATTAAACTATTGATAAATAAGTTGTTTCAGAAGAAGATGAAGAAGATTTTAATAACTATGTAAAATATTAAAATTTATAAAGAATTTATAAATGAGTTTTTATTGTTTTTTATAATTATTAAAATTAATAAATTATTTAGTGTTTATAATATATAAAAAAAAAGATAATTTTGAAAATTTATCAAACAATATAAAATAGTCTTTTAAAAAAATTGTAGATGGAAAAAAAAAAAATATTATAATTATATTTAATTAAATTGTATTAATAATACATTTTTATATATGTATTTTTAAATAAAATAAATTTTATCATTTTAATTTTTCTTATCAAAAAAAAAAAAAACTAAAAAACTTAAAATCTGATAATTAAATAGAAATTTAAAAATAAAATCGAATATATATGGATTTCAAAATATTTTTTAATTTCTAGTAAAATAAAAGTCTTGCTTATTTTTTAGGTTCCAAATTCATATAAAGAGATTATTTATTTACGTTATTTTCATATGCTTTAAATTCATCTTTAATAATAAATTACTTATCGTAATAAATTTAACAAAATGATGAGTAAAATAAAACAAATATATTAAATTTTCCTTCTTTTGCTAATTTTATAATATCCTTTTAACAAAAAAAAGAGTAATAATGTTTTAAAAAAATAGAAGTTGTAAAAGAATAAAGCACTTCTAATAATTAAAATATGATTAAAGATAACTTGACTATTTTAAGTAAAAAAATAAATTTGCTTATTTAATATAATATAAAACAAAAAAGTTTAAGATTAAAACGAAGAAAGCAATAATAATAATAATTAAGTTCATTGTTTATAAATTATGTATGAACCTTCTTTTTTAGATGACTTTTAAATAGATGATTTATAAACGGTTGTTAGTGGATATGAATATAATACTGATTGTAATAGTTCAACACTTTCTGATAGTCTTATTGTGGATTTTATTAGTTTATAATCGGATTAAGATTGATATTAATGGATTTTTTAGAAATTTTTGATTTTTTAGTTTTTTTCCTTCTTTTTTGTAAATAAAAATAATTGTTCAATCAATAATATAAAATTATTATGTTTTTATTAATTTATTTTATTTTTTATTTTAATTTGGATTTACGTAAATATGGTTTTTAATTATATTTTTATAATATTATATATTGTTTCTTATTTTTTATTAGTATACATATAAATTAGTATTTTATATACATAATCTTTTATAAAAAAAAAAATATAAACTATCAATTATTATAAAAGAAGCTGTTTTTATATCTTTAAAAAATACAAAAACTATTTTTAAAATAATTATGTATTATTTAAATATTATTAGCTTTTTTCTTAAATTTAATTATCGTGATAATTTAATTAAACATTTATTTGATTTTTAAAAAAAATTATTTATTTATTTAATTAAATAAAATTAATTTTTTGTTTTTATATACTTATTTACTTTTTTTTATAATTTGAATATTTAATTCAATATTAATAATATATATTGACGAGATATATAAAATAATGCGTATTATAAAATCAAAAATTGAAGACATGGAAATAAAGATATAATAACAATTATAATAATTTAAATTTAAAAGATCTATTTTTATTAAAAAAATAAAATTAAATTAAATTAAATTAAATTAAATAAAATAAAATATAATAAAATAAAAATAAATAGAATATTTGTTATTATATTATATATATATATATATATTTTTTGGTTATTATATAAATATTTTTTGGTTATTATGTATATATTTATTTTTTATATTTTCTCCTCAATTTTATTTTAAATTTTATTATTAAATAATATTTTATTCTTGATCCAATTAAGAAGCTGATGTTTTTTTTTATATTTAATATTAATTTATTTCTACATTTAAAAGTTTTTAACTTCTTTCTATCATATTTTTTTAGTTTTACAAAGAAAATAATCTATTTATTGATTTGATTTTTTCGTATTATCTAATTCTTGATTTGATCCAATTACTTAAAGAGATTTCATTTATTAATTTTATAGCATTACTTATTGCAATAAATTATTTTTGAAAATATTTTGCTTATTATTTTCATTGTTAATATTTTCGACTTAATTATTTTTTTAAAATAAATTTATCTTATTTTCTATATCCTAAATGTTTTAATTCTTATTTTTTTATATATTTTTATATATTATGTAATATATTTTACTTATGATAATAATATTAAAAAAGGGATTAATTTTATTAATTCATTATCCTGACTATTATCATTTGTAAAAGAATTTATTTTAATTGTGTTTTCTGGCTTAGATTTAAATTCGCTTTAAAAGTTATCAATAAAAACGATATCTTTTGCATCTTTATTTAATTAAGACAAGTCTTGTATTTATAAACTTTCATCTTGATTTACGCAATCTTTTCTGAAAAATCTATAAGTCACATTATTCTTATTGTCAAGCTAATCTATAATTTAATTTGCAAACTTTTTTTATTTTTAAAAAATAATTATAATTAATTTTTCTTTGTAAATAAAAAAAAGCACTTCAGATTCACTTGATGTAAATATTGCAATATCATAATATTCACTAACTAATTATAAAAATTTTTAACATCCTGGTCGTCTTTTTATGGCTAATGTAATATTTTGTTCTAATAGACATAAATTTATACTAAAATCATAATCTTATACTTATTATAATTAATTATAGTATATTAATGTTTTTTCTAGATTTATAAAAAGAAGCTTTTTTTAAATTTATTTGGTGTCCTTTATATTATTTTGTTAAGAAAATATATTATATTTTACTGTTTTGGTTTTTTTAATATTTTTTGAAAACAATTTTTGAATACATTGACTAATGCATTCAAATAATGAAGGTTTTTTTTTAATTTAATTTTCTTATTTAATTTTTTATTCATTATTTTATATTTAATCATATTATTGTATATTAAGCTATTCTTTTTATGTGTTGTTTATGTTTTTAACTTATTGATCTTCGTTGCAACTTTTTGCATCAAAATCTTCATATTAAATTAATTTTTTTGTAAAACTTTTTTTAGAAAATTATTATTTTAAATAAAGTTTTATTTTACATTTTTTTATTAAAATTTATCATTTTTTTTTTTATATTTTAATTAATTAAGAAATATTATTTTGTTATTAAAAAATAATAAAATTATATAAAAATTATTTAAAAAAAAGTATAAATAAAAATAATATATATTTGAAAATATTATTGATAAAAATATCAATATTAATTTAATTAGATAAAGATTAAATTTAAATTAGAGGAAAAAATATTATAAATAATATTATTGAATTCCATTTTAAATAAATAAAAATTTGAAATTTTATTAATTTTATATCATATATTAATTATTATTTTGTATTTAATATTTATTAATTTTATTTTTTCTTAATATAATTTATATTTTTTTAAAAAAAATTAATTTATCTTTTTTAAAATTTAAATTAAATGTCTATTAAAAATTATAGTTTTATAAGCATTCTAATATTTTTTATAACAAAAAAGTTTGTGAAATATATATAAAATAAATTGAATATTTAATGTAAATTTTAAAATAGAATTTATTTTATATATATAATATTTAATAACTATATTATTTTTGTTATTTAAAATAAATATATATTTTTTTATAAATAAATAAATATAATTAGTTACTTATCTAAAAGTAGCTAAATATTATAAAATTTTTTTGAATAAAATTAACAAATTTTTAAAAACTCTAACTTTTCGTCTTCAAAATTAATAAAATAAACAATTATAAAAAATAAATTCAAAAAAAAAGTATTATAGTACAGAAAAAAATAAAAACATGTATTTTAAAAATATTAAATAAACAAATATTAATTAAAACAATATATATATAAATTAAAATAAAAAAACAGATAAAAATGTCATAAAATTGGGGTTAATTAATATCTTTATCGGGAAACAAATAATCATAAATAAAGAATTTTTATTTAAAGACAGAAGCATTAACAATAGGGAGTAATTCTTTAAATGAAATATCAATAAAAGATAGTTAATTAGATTAATTTCATTGTTTAATTCGTTTCTAAAAATAATAAAATAAAGTCATATTAGAAAACACTTCTAATTAAAAGATGTATATATTCGATAAAATAGTCATCTAAAATACCGAAGTAGAAATTTAAAACGGAGATAATATTTAGTTTACAGATAAATCGAAAGTAAAGAATGAAAATTTAATGTTTATTTTTATAAAATTAATTTAAGTCTAAACTGAAAATATTTAAAAGGAAATTAAAACAAATTAAAATTTACTTTAAGAAATTAAAAGAATAAAAATGAATGTATTTATAAAATATATATATACATATAAATAATTTTAAATATATATGTATAAATAGGATACTTTATAAGAATAAGAATTAAAATGTCCTATATGTTTAAATTTTATGGAAAATCCGCATTCAATATTTCCTTGCTTACATAATTTATGTGGAGGATGCTTATGCTCCTTAATATAAATAAAAAATTATAAAAATAACCAATGCCCAATTTGTAAATAAAAAATAGAAGGAATAAATAAAAATTGTGCACTTAATAATTTACTGGAATACCATTTAAATAAATATCCGAATAAAAAAAGCCTAATTTAACCACAAGATATGAAATAAAAAGCACAAATAAATGATTAAATATAACAATTTAATAAAGACTTGAAAAAATAAAATACTTAAAAATTAAAGTTTGCAACTTCTAATAGCGATATTGATTAAAGTTTGTTCTTTTTTGATAATAATACAAGGAATTAGCAATTATTAAATAATGAATTATCATAAATTTAAAGTTAAAATATTCAGGAAAATACAGAGAGCTAAAATAATTCCGAAGATTACGAAGATGATGAAAATGAGGAAGATGAAGAAAATGAAGAGTTTTCTTATTAAAGAAGCTAAAGTGGATAAGATAGAACTGATAGTTCTTCTGATTCGGAACTTAGTTAGAATAATTTTAATTGTTATAGAATGAGGGTTGCAGGGATCAATTTTAGGATTTTTTTGTGAAATGTAATTTTATCTTTATTTTTAAATATATATAATAAATGAGTTTTATTTTTACTATAATAAAATGTTATAATAATTAATATTATATATAATGTTTTTTATTTTTTTCTTCTTTTATAACTAAAAATTTATTGCTTTAAATTTTAATTTGTTATAATTTTTTTTTATAATCAGTTAAATATGTTTTTTTTTTTTATTAAATTTATTTATTTTTGAAATTTTAACAAAGGATTTTTTATAAATTAATCTATATTTAAATATTGTTTTTCAAAAATAAAAAAAAAATGGGAAAAAATCCTCTCCCTAAATATTAAAAGCCGATAGTAAAAACAATAGAATAATTAAAATAGGAAGAACTACTATATTCAAAATATCAAGTATAAATTTCTTTTGAGGAAAGATATAAGGAATCATAAGAATGTAAAGAAAAGCATCCAGATTCAGTTCCAGTAATAATAGAAAGATATAAGATTTTTAAAGAAATAAAAGAAATAACTACTTCAAAATTTTTATTCAATGTAAAATCTTAAACAGCATAAGCAATGATTAGAACGTAGTAAGATGTGTAAGCAAAATAAATATGGTTTTATGTAATTTTTAATGGAAAATTAAAGATGCTTTTACCCCAATCTAAAATCGGACTTTTATACAATAGATATAAAAATGCAGATGGGAATTTGTATATATTTTATACTGATAAGAATATAATTTCTAATACAAATAGATGTTTCGATATTTTTTAGATTTTTATTGTTATTCTTTTGATTTTTTATGTCTATATTTATTTTGCTGGGCCTGATAAGATTGTGGAGTTTTTCGGATATAAAATTATCAGATAAGAATAAAGTTAAACTGAGCTTTGATAATATATATATACATAATATTGTTTGCTTTTTTTTATTTAGATAAATTTAATATGTATTTTTTTGTATTAAACAAAAAATTATTTTTAAAAAATAAAAATAATATACTATCTTTTATAATTATTTATTTTAAAAATAATATGTAATATAATCATATATTATATTAATTTTTATTATATTATTAATTCTATCTTTTATTGTATAATTATATTCTTTAATTTTGTTTCTAATTATTCCATTATATTTATTTTAATATTAAAATAATTTTAGTAAAAAATAAATATAGTCATTTTATTTTATTAACAAATGAATAAATATAAAGTAAAATTATAAATCTCTTATTTTTCTAAAATATTAATATCTATCAATATTATTAAAAATTCAAATAGAAATAAATAAACCCTTTAAAATAAATTAATTTAAAGAAAAAAAATATATATATATAAAAATATTAATAAATAAAAAATTATGGATATATAAAAAAACAGTGATTATTTTTTTGTAGTAGAATCATTTAAGACTTTTTTCGAAAAAATTTTAAATATAGTAAATGATCCAAAAGGCCGTGTTGCCAAAGAATGGTTAAAATTCAAAGAAGTTTTAATATCTAAAGACTGTTCGGCTTCCTCTGTATATTTATATGTAAGTACATTATCACTATCTTAAAATGATGAGGAAGAAAACAACCAGTGTAATAAAATAGTGAAGTTAAAAAAGTAGTAGAGTAAATAAGTAACTGGTAAAAAAAATAATTTAACAAATTCATGTAATTCAGACTCTTCACCTATTAATTCTCCATCGAAAAAAAAGAAAGAATTATTGAAATAATTGGAAATTAAAACAAATAATCTATATAAAGAATAAAAGGAAAGTACTACATAAGGAAGTGATTTGGAAGTATAATCGACAGCACGTATAAAACAGAATGAAATTATTTAATTAAAAAGTCTGAATTAATGTAATTAAATTAGCGATACTAATAAAAAATATAATTTTGAAGAAATGAGATTTATTTTATTAGAAAAAGTAAAGAATAATATCGAAATTTTTTAAAAAAATGATGTTAGTTTAAAATTAGTTAATGAAAGATCTTTTTAAACAAAAACTATGTTTATTGATAGTAAAAAAAATTCACCTAAATAAATAATTAGGAAAGATACTTAGTTTATAAGAGATTATTCAGTTTATTAAAAAAAAGATAAAAATGAATAATTGTATTAAAAATAAAATTCTAATAAAATTTAATAGTAAAGATAATAATCACCTGTAGTAATTTAAAATTAAGAAATTTTATAAAAATAATAAAAACTACTGGAAAAAGCTTAATAATAATAAGAAATAGATTAAAGATATTAACTGAATTTTTTATAAAAAAATCTTCTTTTACAAGAATAAAATGAAGAATAATTTTCATGTTCTAATGTAAAAATAGACTATTAAAAACCTAATTAGTAGTAATAAAGAATAAAAAGTCCTTCATTTAACAACCCGCCAAATAAATAACATAACAGTCCTACATATTAATGCTATAGTCCAACATTTAACTTAGGTTAAGTCAATTGCTTTTCATCGAATATGTAGTAAATAAAATAGGGCTATTAATAAAAATAACTTTTATTATAGGAATAGTAAGATAAGTCAAATTAAATAGTTACTTAAATGAAACTGCTTTATTAACAAAAATCTAATTATAAAATTTAATAAAGGAATTAGGCTTAATAATTGGCTTTAAATATTTTAAACAATGTGGAATAAAAATAAAATACTGTAAATCAATATATTGAAAATGATTAAATTATTAAGGAAATTTTAGATAAGCATAAAAAAGGCATTTAAGGTTTTGAAAAATGAATAAAAATTATTTAATTTATAACATATTATTTTTTATTATTAATAATATATATATATATATTTTCTAAACTCTAGTATTTATTTTTTAAATATTAAAATAAATTAAATTTCTTTATAAATATAAAATAATATATTTATTTTTATTATATCTAATTTATTATTTTTTAATATAAATAAAACGGAGTTTTGTTAATAATTAGAAATACAATATATATATATATATATATATATATATATATATATATATATATATATATATATATATATATATATATATATATATTTAACTCAATATTTATTTCATTCTTAATCATCATCCAAGTCTTAATCTTCTTATGCATCCAAATATTAAGAGTCTTCAGCTCCTTTATATTCATCAATTAATTATTATAAAATTTCATTACAATCATCGAATTCTTCAATTATATAATTATTTGCTTTTTTATAATTTTCAATGAAAGCATTTTTTTTTCTTAATGTTTCATAATTATCTTTTACTTTTTAAAATAACTAAATTTTTTAAAATAAAAGATATTGAAAAAAATATATAAATTTTACTGTATGAATACTAGTATGATTAGCTAACATAAGTCCACTAACTTTATGAGAAGTTTCAATATAAGGCGATTTTTTAGAAAGAGCAATTTATATAGAAGCAGGTCCCCAAGTAATAAAATTGGCTAATTTTCTTTCTCTTATTCTTTATAAAGATTTGTGTATTTAAGAAGCATCGACATCTCCTTAGATAACATTAAGAATAGAAATATATTGTCCTTTTTTCGTAGGTGCGCTAACCATAATATTTTTAGTTTGAAGAAGTCTTCTCATGACATCTAAAACTGATGTTTTTCTAACAGTACTTATATGTCTATCTATTGTAATAGGTGTATATCCAGTCATTAAGAAATGACATCTAGGAGTAGGTACTAGAGATGCGAGAATTCCGATCAAATCATTATTCATATATCCTGGATATCTTAAAGTTGTAGTACAAGCTGCCATTACTGTCGAAACTAAACTATTAGTATTCGAAATTGTTGGATTACTTATTTTTAATCTATCCTATGCTATTCTTTCTAAAGCAGTATTATCTAATACTGTCGTAGCATCACAATTTAAAGTCAATCTTTTTAATGTAAGTAAAGAATTATATGGATGCACTACTACATCAGCTTAATTGCTTGGAAATACCGAATATGTCTAAATTATTTTCTTTGGAAATCTATCGTTTAACTTTTCTAATAAAAATGAACCCACACCCGAACCAGAACCTCCTGCTATACTATGAATTAATACAAATGCTTCTAAACTATCAGATCCATCGGCTTCTCTATCTATCATATCTAATAATTCTTCTTGAACTAAATATATAATTATTTTATTTATTAATATCTATTTTTTATTTTACTTTTCTCAGCTTCTGAATATCCTTATGCCCAATTGTTTCCCGCTCCAGAACCGTCTGTACCACAAAATATATTTTCTGGATTATATAAAGAACCATATCCTGATTAATGTACTACTCGCTTTATTACACGATCTTCTAAATCAATTAAGCATGCACGAGGAATATAATGTTCATCATCAGCTTAATAAAAAAATACATCTTTTCTATCTTCAGTATTTGTTGCATATTCTTATAATATTCCCTCTTAATTTATTCCGTGTTCTTAGCATAATTATTTCCAGAATTCCATTCCAACTATTTTTTTATAAATAAAAAAAATTAAATTAAAAGCTGTTATTACCTTAATTTCCACATTGTCCAACTTATAAAGTAATTATTTCTCTTGGCATTTTATTGAAATATTTTAAATTTTGCTTTAATTTTTTTAATAATAATAAAAAAAATTATATGTTTTTATTTTTTTAAAAAAATATATATATTTTAAATATTAAATATCCTTATAATTTTAAAAATATATATTAAAATTTTTGAAATGAAAATATAATATAAAATTTTTATTAATTTAAAATATTCTAAATAATTAATATAATTTAATAACAAATATTATAATTTATTTCATAAACAAAGAAAATTATATATATAAATAAAAATAAATTTAAAAATTAAATATACAATAATATTTATAGATAAAATATGTTTTTAACATTAATAAATCATATATTTTAAATAAAATTTTAATTTATTAATTAAGATAATATTTAAAAATAATTATAAAAAGTATAATCATATGAAGCTAGTAGATGATGCTTAGAGTAAAAGGGAACAAAATATTTTTAGAAAAAATATTTATGTTATTTTGTTAAAAGAAAAAAAAAATTAATTTAATTTTATATATAAATAATAGATATTTGTTAATATATTATAGGTGTTTTACAAAAAAATGTTTACGTGCGTGTTAATAAGATAATAAATATTTTTGAATAGGTATTTATATGTTTATAAATATTTTTGGATGGGCAGTTATAAGTTTATAAATATATTTAGATTGGTAATTGAATTAGGGTTGATTTGGGGGTTGGGGTTGGGGTTGGGGTTGGGGTTGGGGTTGGGGTTGGGGTTGGGGTTGGGGTT